GGGCACGGGCAGCCGGGCAGGCAGGGCAGGGGACAAGGGGCCGCACAGCAGCCTTCAGTACACACACACTGTGCAATACCACAGCAACAACGTCTGTCCGTCCGTCCGTCCATCCTCGCACCTCGCGGTGAGGCCGGACTGAAACACCCGCACGCAGGTCCCGCACGCCCGTCGGATACCGGGGAAATTGGGGACGAGGTTGGAGGGGACACGCGCCTCTCCTAGTAAACCATGTTGGCGGGGCACCACGGCGTGTCGGGGTACAGCAGGCAGTGCACGGAGCGGAACCTGCGGAGGACAGGAGCGATGCTGAGCATGGGGAGGTGGTGGCCCCGCGGCCCCCTGGCGTGGCAGGGACAGGGTCCCCTCATCTCACCTGGATGGGTCCTCCTCGACGGAGAAGGCTCCCTTCATATGGATGGAGTTGCGCTTGTTCTCGAACATGCCGTAGCTTAGTGTCACCTGGGGAGGGAAGGACGGGGTGGTCAAGCAGCCGGTGTGGCCATGAGGATCAAGCAGAGGCATGAGGGGAGGCTGTAAATTCACCCCATTTCCCAAAGCCACGCTCAGCATCAGGGGTGGGCTGATGGGATTTCCCCCCTCTGCTGATGTTCTGGTCGCGTGTCAATGGATATCTTAGCTACGATGCCCCATTTTTAGGTGACGACATGAAATACCTGTTTGTGGATCTCTGTCTTGGGCACCTGGTGGAGGTTCTCGAGGTGGGAGTGGAAGAGATTGCTTCGGATGAGCTTCACCCCCAGCACGGACTCAATGATGTAGCCGATGGTGCAGTCATCCGGCAGGCGGATCTTCTCCGCCGTGCTCATAAAGTGGCCCCCGCTGCAGGGAGACAGAAAGGGGCTGCAGAGGAGCAAAGCCCAGGGGCCATGGGTACCCTGCAGGGTCTGGGCTTGGCCAGTGGGTGCTCGGTTCTCATCAAAAAAGGAACCAAAGTCCGTCCCAGCTTGTTTCCAAGCCCCTTGCAGACACCCCCAGCAAAGCAAAGAGAGCAAAGTCGTGGGACACAGGCCAATGTCCATCCCAAAAGATGCTCTGTGCCCCGCTGGGACCATGACGAGTCCCCATGGGAGAGCAACACCAATGATCTTACCTGGCCCATGGGCTCATCTTCAGTGCCAGCCCCCGGCTGATACAAAACCCCGCTCCTCCCGTGGCAAACCAGAAATGCACAGGGTGCTGCAAGAGAGGGCAAGCAACAGCAATGAGACCTCCTCCTGCAAACCCCAGGCCAAACTAAGCTAGCCCCAACCTCTTGCCCCCATCTCACCATCTTGTTCTCACTGATCCTCTCCGTAGCCTGGATGGGCCGGTCCAGGCTGGGCTTCCCGATGTAGATGTCCTGTGTGTGTGGATAACTGGAGAGCAGCTTCACCAGCATCCGCACGTTCACGTAGTTGTCATCGTCCACGTGGCAGAACCACCTGCGGTGGCAGCAATGTCACAGCGGGCTGGGGCAGGTCCCCATGCTGAGATACAACCCCAAAATGGGAACAGGCTCTGCTTGGACCATCCTCCCCCCTGCAGCCCCACTGTCCCCCATGGCAATCCCAGGCACTACTTACTTTCTGCCTGACTCAATGAACTTGTCGTACTCCACAGCCATCTTGCAGGACAGGGCCTGGCGGCTGTGGGCAGCCGAGCAGTTGGTGTTGATGACATTTCCTATGGGAAGAGATGGATCAGGGTCAAAGCCTGGCATCGGGCATCCCGCACCTCCTCGTATGCTCAAAAGGTGATTCTTCACTACACACATCCCAGGCGTGCCAAGGGATGGAAACCCCATGGATGTTCCTGGTGCTCGGTGGCCTCTGTGTCACATCATTCTGGGCAAAGGATGAGTTTTTTGGGAATGGCTTTTGGATCCACATGAGATAATGAAAGCAAGAGCAAGGGATGAGGATGCAGCAGATGCGCTGGGGTTGAGCTATGCGTGATGCTGCATTACCTTGCCCGTCCCAGGGCCAAGTACCAGCCACCCTGGGAGTGAGGAGGTGTCCGTGAGCCTCCAGGACGTGGTAGCTAAAAGCCTGCCCTATTTTGCTCACCCAGCTCTCTCCCAGCCTGAAAAGGAGTCATTTGCATGGGAAGAATAGACTATGATGACCCTGGCCCCAGGGAAGGGCTGCCAGGAAAATGCTCCCATGGAACCCTGGCTGCATTGCCCATCAATCCCAGCACACCCCAGGGACAAACTGGTGCAAAGGCAACCCATCAGGCATAGAACAGGATCGTGCTTCCCAGCAGCATCATGCAAAAGATGGGCTGACTGGGAAGAAAACCTGTCGCCAGATGAAGCTCCTGGGCAGAAGGTGCTTTAGGCATAATCAGTGAAACAAGTTGCCCCGTTCTCAGCCCAGGCTGAGATTCCTGTCTAACCAGTGGCATTTTGATCGTTCTTTTTGGTTCCCCAGGCAGGCTCCATGCCAGCCTTGCTCCCCAGGCCAGGGCTCCTCACGGAACCTAGAAGGACATGCACGCGAAAGAATAAGAGCCACAGACTCACGTGCTTGCTTCTTCAGCTCCTCATCCTCCCCATCCGTGAAGATGAAGGTCTGAAAGAGAAGACAAGGCACCTCTGAGGACCAAGGGGCTGAGGCCACGTGGCTCTGGATGCAACACAGCAGCCCTGTGCAGCCCTGGGGATCAGTCCCTCCGGAATGCTGGTGGTGACTTCTTCCCCTTCATCAAAACCCAAAGCAGCACCGAGAGCTGGACATGCCCACAACACACTTGGCTTCAGACCAAGAAGGGTGCCAAGCTGGCACTCACTGGGGTGCAAACCCCAGCACCCATGCCAAGCATCCCCATCCTCTCGCCTTTCCCACGGGGCAGCAGCAGCAGCAGGCAGGGAGATTTGGGGTGACACAAGGGCCATCCCCAGCCCAAGGTGGGTGCATTGTGAGGAGCATGGGACCGGGAGCTGGTGCAGAGCAGAGACTTCAGACTTTATCCGGCACATGCAGCCAGGGATGCCGGAGCAGCCGCCCCGCAGCATTCCCAACCCAGGCAGGTGTGTTTGCCCATGGACCGGCTGCCAACTGTGTCAACAGCACGTGGCTGTCCCAGGACACTTGCACAACACCCCTGTGGATCCTCTCAGCTCTCTGTCCTGAGCTGGGTGCCTCTCACCAGCCCCAAGGAGGGGATGGTCCCTCACTGCCCACCTCAGCATCATGCTGAGCAGCACCCATCCTCCTCCCCACGTACCCCAGCTGCACTCCTCTATTTACACAGCTAATTCCTGGCATATGCCAACCGGGAAGGAGGACTGGGGGGAGACTGGGGATTTGGGGAAGCAGGAGGAGAGAGCAGGGGGTGGGAAAGGCATCGCCATCAATCAGCGGGCAGCAAACAAAGCTGGAGGAGAGAAACCACAACCAGCTGCCAAGCGCTATTAAAAACCAGACATGCACAAAAGGGCAAAGGAAGAAAGACAAAAGGGTTGGGGAGGGGGGAAGGCAGGAGGCGGCAGAGTGGGGATGATGGAGCCTGAGCTCTGGGGATGATGAATTACAAGTGAGCTGGAAATCGGGTGCAGGCCGGCCCCGGGAAGGCGCTGGCTGGGGTTTTGTGGTGTGTTTGAGGAGGTGGGTACAATAGCAGGGTAACTTTACTCAGTGGAGGAGAGTTAAGCGGGCAGTGGTGGTCATTAGCATACAGCTGCGCTGGTTAACCCGGCGTGTTTGCTCAGGGCCTTAGAGGAGGCTGGTGGGGAGAGCTCAGATCTGCAGGAAGGCTGAATGGGAGGGGAGGAGGATGTGTTCCTGGGGACGGGGCTACAAGTGACCTTTGGGGCTTGGAAAAGAGAAAAGGACAAGAAAAAAAAAGGCTGGAGGAGGTGGGAGGCAAGTTCTCACAAATGCTGTGCAGCCTGGCCTCTGGGGGGGACAGGGTCCCTGAGGGGTCAGGAAGGCATTGAGCAAAGGGCTAGGGGTTGGGGGACCTGCTGATGAGGAGGGGACAGCTTGGGTATAGGGCCGTAGCCCATCAGCACAGGGCCAAGGATGCGCGTGGTCATTGCAGCCCCAGGGACACATCATTGCTGGGGTGACATCAGTGCTGTGCATGGAGGAGGAGGATTTCACCCCAACCAACGCCCCTTGCTGCTGGTCCCCACTTCCCCAGGTGAGGGGACAGGCAGCTGCTGGGGCTATGATCTGAAGTGGGACCAGAGGAGACCATCCAAGGGTGCCCAAAACAACCCCATTACAAGCCCTTTCTCATCCACCCTGACACATGGTGCCCTGGCAGCCCCTAAGCCCCAGCGCTGCCAGAGGGGGACAGTGGATGCGGGGGACATACAGCTTCGGCGCAGGCGAGACAGAAGATGTTTGCTTGATTAGTTCAGAAACACCGTCCAGCAACTGCCTTCAGCTGCTCCAAAAATAACCCTGCAAGTAATCCTCTGGCTCAGATGCTATAAATAGAGCACAGGGACAATTGTTTGTTACTTGCCCACACCGAAGCTCCATCTGAACGAGGCATCTTCCCCCCAGCCTCTCCCCACGTACATCTCCATCACTTTCCTGCTGTGGGTGGACCAGGTGGCACCTTGGGGACCAAGATAGGGGCACAGAGCCCTGCAGGTCACCTCGCAGAGGCCTCACAGGCTCATCTCCCTCCCATCCCTGCCACAGCATTTAAGTAAAACTAAAAGAATTACAGCCTTTATTTTTCAATTCATTTGGTTGCAATTCTTGAGGGGAGGAGATGCACCCTCCCTGCACAGCCCCCTTGCCCAGGGCTGCAGGGGAGAGGAGCAGAGGTGCCAGCCGAGCAGGAGAGGGGATGGGACAGGAGATGAAGGGGACAAGAAAACACTGTGTTCATGTGACAAGGAAACACCATGGATCAACCTTTGGTGTGTGGTGCTGGGTATCAATGCAGTGCCCAGTTTATGGCAGTACAAATGGGATGGGGAGACTGCAGCCAACATCCCTGAGCTGCCAATCTCCATAAAGACAGCAGCAGGGCCAGCACCCCCAGGTAGAAATCACCCAAAGGTCTTATACCCACCTCTCCCCTACTTGACCCCCACGCCAACTGTGGCATCGAGGGGGTGCCAGGACCTCTTGCACCACCAC